TTGGTGACAAAATGCCGAAATTGGCAATACTGTCCATTTCCGAGTCTTTGCTAAATTAATCATTTTTTAAACGAATCGATTAAATGTATGATTCCGTGGCTTAGTTTCGTTTTGTTCCAGAATAAATCATTGTTTGAACGATTCGCTGACTGAACGATTCAGTGACTCACTCATAAAAACAGTCAGATGTCGCCATCTGCTGGCGGAACTGTATGTGACGTGCAGAGATACTGGAAAATCCCAGATTCTGACAGTCTGTCTGAAACACGTAAATACACACAAAACAGTGAAAAGTCTGCCGCTTAGTTAAACACACTCAAAGACCGGAACTGTTGTTTAATATCCAGTATAAGTTAATATGAACATATTTCTTTTTCTGGTGTCAATGAAAAGTTGATTGAGGTGTGTTGATGAGGCTATGTGGGTACACAAATATTGGTCTAGTGTGTTATGTCTAATGAGAGGTGATGAATTTGCTTTTAAACAAACCTTTATCTACAATGTTATTTTTAATATTTTGATAAATGGATGTCATGTCAGTGGTGAAACCTGCTGATAAAAACCTTCAAATCCACTGTTTTCAAACACATCTGGCTCACTAGATTATTCATATCTTTCTGTGGGAATGTATGGAAATGCAATTTTCCAAAATAATGTTGTTTTTTAATAGCTAAGTGCTCTCTTCTTAACTGCAATGCAAATTGGAAATGATATTCAGCTACAACACAAGCACAATATCTTCATATCCAGAGGGCTGGATCTCAAATGATCAGTAACTCCAGTATGATGATGAGGGATATAGAGTACAGTCCTAAAGCCCCATAGCTGTCAGCATGAATGACAGAGTGCGAAGATAGGGAAATTGCCTCAATAAAATATTGCATATAGTAATCAAGAGGAACTCCTCCATGACCTGCCATGATTCATACATCCTTAACAGATTCCACTGGCACATCTCTGTTCATATTACATATGGTTGATGGCTTTCTTTTTATAATCATACACTGCTTGCTTATTCTTGGCAGGCTACCCTGGTGACCATTGCAAATGTGGTCAATAAGGCCTGATATAGTTATGTATATCAAATATGATATTCATTGATGTTTATGTTATTATTATTTATTTGAGAGCTTTGAAAATGGTAACAGTTTGAGGAAATGTGACCACCTTTCAAAAGTCTGGGTTCATTGAGATGTTTTAATACTTTTGAAAGTCGTGTCTTATGCTCACCAATGCTGCATTTATTTGATTAAAAATCCTGAAAAAACAGTAATATTGTGAAATATTATTACAGTTTAAAATAAGCGTTTTCTATTTGAATATATATTTTAAAATGTAATTTATTCCTGTGATGCAAAGCTGAATTTTCAGCATCATTACTCCAGTCTTCAGTGTCACATGATCCTTCAGAAATCATTCTAATATACTGATTTGCTGCACAAAAAAAACATGTATTATTATCAATGCTTAAAACCGTTGTGAAAAAAAATATTTGATGAATACAAAGTTTAAAACGGCATTTATTTGTAATAGAAATCTTTTATAACATTATAAATGTTTTACTGACACTTTTTTATCAAATTGAATGCATCTTTGCTGAATAAAAGTATACATTTCTTTTGAATAGCACTGAGAATCTCTCAAGTTTCTCAAGTTAATTGCCATGACAAATGAGTTAACATTTATATTTTAAGGAAGGTAGACAGGGTGGCACGCTAACTAAAGCTCAGAACTGGACGTTTGCAGGTTCAATCCCCTCAAGGAGTAAAGTATGAATTATCGCATTGCACGCTTGAGCAAGACATTTCATCTCAGGTTACTCCAGAGGGATTCTGCTTCTAATAAGTTGCTTTGGACAAAGGTTTCAACTAAATCTGTGGCTCTCAACTGGTTTTAAATCAAGGACATCAAGTTGTGACCAGTACATAGAATAGTTCATGGAAAAATAGTGTGTGAAGTAAGGCATCATTTGGCATCATCACAAAAATACAGTGTCAACTTATTAGAAATAAAATATTTTCCAGATTATTTTGATACACTTCTGCAGATTATTATATTATATTATATTATATTATAATACTTTTTTTTTTAACTCGCCTACACAGGGACCATTATATTTTGGGCCTAAATTATTAGTTACTAGCCAGTTAGATCATACAGAAATTAAATTATAAGTAGAAGACACAATAATACACTGAATTAATAACAGTAACTCCCCCATGTTGCTCTTCTCCATCTTTCTCCTCCCCTCAGGGGAAATCCTTGGTGCTGCTATTGCCGAGAACACGGGAATGAAGTCACTCAATCTGGCTTGGAACTGCATTCGAGGAAAAGGAGCCATTGCATTTGCTAAAGGCCTGGAGGTAAGAGGAAAATAAAGTCCATCCTCTGCCAGAGTCACTCATTCATGCTAAGCACTTACTTTGGCTTAACATCCATTGATCAAGTCAGGATTTAACAACGCTGTTTGATCCAGCATCTATGCAGTAAAAGTGGTCTTATCATGAGAAATCAAAATTTGATTTTGAAGGGAAATATCTTCTTGCGGACCGTGGATTTGTCATACAATGGCCTGGGCAAAGAAGGAGCTGTGGCTCTAGAGGAAGCACTCAAACACAACAATACACTGGAGGATCTGAACATCAGGTACTGTTGTCATAGTATGATTATACTGTAACTGTATTTATGGCATGCATCACCTATGAGTCCATTTTTTGAAGGCCCACCTCACCTATTCTTTTCTGTGTGTACACAGTTCTTGATTTATTGCCGTAATTATGAGATGGTAGACAGTTGAAATTGTTTAGCGTTTGTCTGCTAAATTAGTTTAGTTCACAATGCACAGTTATTCATGATTTATTTGTAGTGGTGAAATCAACAAACACCAGACTTTGCAAACAGTCGATAAACTGACAACCAGAATAAAAGTATCTCAAATGCTTAAAATATTTCAGTATTGTCTTTTTTCTTTGTCTGCAGCAATAATCGCATACCTCTTGAAGGAGCCATCCATTTAGCGCTGGGCCTCAAAGTGAACACGACTCTACGAATTCTCAAAGTACGAATTAGATTAAAATAGTAACAGCAAGGCATAATTGAAGCAAGCATGGCTTTTAAGCTTAGACTTTTAGGTCTGCGTCAGAAGAGATTTATGACATTTCTATCTTTGTTATGACTAATTTTGTTGGTTTTCGGTACGATCCAGATGTCTAGGAACCCAATGCAGTCAGTGGGATGCTTTGCCATTTTAAAATCAGTTCAAGCAAACCCAGAAACTGCAGTTGAGTTCTTAGAATTCTCTGTGAGTGAATCTTTCCCATTCATTTCTCATATTTCCTTATGGTTTTCTGTCTCTAACATCAGTTTCTCGTAGGATATTTGTGTGGACCAGGAATTTGAAGACTTGTTCGAAAGCACCAAAGAAACACTCCCACACCTCCAAGTGAAACATGGTGGAAAAATGAATGCTGCACTTAAAAAGAGCTGAAGTTTATTCAAAATGTGTATAGGCTTATAGAACTGCAAATGTATTTCTGAACTTGCATAAAACTGAGACTCTAAACTGATTTGAATCTCGCTCCACACTCCTCCACATGGTAAATTGGATCACGTCACGGTTGATGGATCATGGTTTCTGGCGTTAAGGGAACAACGGTTCGGTAGAATAAGTTTTAGAAGAAGAATTGATGACTTTAGTGACCATAGACTTTAGAACATTACTTACAAAATAGGTAGTTGAGATGATGTGTGAAGCAAGCTAGAATTTGTTCAAAAGTTTGGGGTCGGTAAGATTTTAAAAAATGTTTTCAAAAGAAGTCTCTGATGCATTTTTTTGATCAACAATTCATTAAATATTATGAAACATTATTACAACAGTTTTGAATATATTTTAAAATGTGATTTATTTCTTGTGATGCAAAGCTAAATTTTCAACATTATTACTCCAGCGTTCACTGTCACATGGTCCTTCAGAAATCACTCTAATATTTAAAAGATTATTATAAATGTTGAAAACAGTTGTGCTGCTTCATATTTGTGTGTAAACCATGATATACATTTTTTTCAGGATTCTTTGATAAGAATGTTCAAAGTACAGCATTTATTTGAGCATTAATACATGTATTCATTTCTTTCACTTTTGATAGATGCATGCAGCTTCATGGCCTCATTTAATGTCGACTACATGAAATATTTGTATTTCTAAAGCTTATTTCTCAAACTGCAAGACTTTTCAAGTGAGGTGTCATGTCCATGTCACACACATGAAATCTTCCTTACAAATAATTACCATAACCATAGTTTCTGACGACTTACACCATGGTATGTCATTAGTAAAAACACAGTTTTGGATTTTTATATAGACACCCTGCTGAGAAAACCAACGAAGACCTGTAAACCAGCTTAGGCTGGTTTAAAGGGGTCATATGATGCTATTTTAAAGATCATTATTTGACTCTTAACTTTTATAAAGAATATCTCTTTGGATTTGAGACTTTAGTCTTTGCAACTTTACAGATCTTCTTTATGCACCAAGAGCTTGTAACACTTCAAAGAGAAAGGAAAACTTGAAATCGCATCATATGACCCCTTTAAGATGTTTTTTTTCCCTCAGCGGGTTAGTATAAGAAGCTTTTAGATTCTGACATTTTAATTTGGAGTAATCCTACTATGGTATAGGCAGCAAACATGGTTGCCTATTGCATTTGATCGGATTTCCTTATTATTATTGTTATTCTGCACGTTTCCACCAGAAAACCTTTAAAACTAGTCAAGAAGCAACCCAGCTCTAGATATTTAGCATGCCAAATATTTCGCGGGTGTCGGCGACGTGTCGGCGATTCCCTCAGATCGCGTCTTTGATAATTCACACTGCTTGATTGTCACTCGCGTGAACGAGCACCGATTTGCCTCCGATGTCGGGCATTTGTCGGCGATTTCGCAAAACCTGTCGGCGAGTGAAAAATCGGGCTAAAATCGTGCAGTGTGAACTCGGCATTAGTCTTGTTTGAAAAGTTTTTGTTTTCTTTGACTGGATTTTAATTACATCAGCGAACATATCAACAGATTAATCATCGTGATAAAGAGTTTCTAAACTTCATCGAATCAAAGGCGCACATGAAGCTGAAGTCCAACAGTTCACGCGAGTCAAACATTAACTCAGACAAACGCGCGTGTTGCAACTTCATATAGACGCGACTCTACAAACAACACGAGAGAATAATGGCGACAGCACGGTCTCTACATAATATCCTCAAGAGACAGCAGCATTTCCTTAACAAGGTGCATTCAACAGGGCTGGCCAGGTAATGTGCATTAGTCACGGACAGATGCGTGTAGCACGATACGATTGCTAAATTAATTCGGCAATGCAAGTAAAATTGCAGATCTAGAGTCCATTCAGTCATATATTCAGTATGTGGGCAGTTGATTAATAATACGGGCATAATCTTGCTTTTAAACATCAGGGCTTTATGTTAAAATATATATGTATAAGGTAAAGTGTAGGCTTAATGTGCTGCATAGAAGCGTCCTGCAGTCTGACAAGGGAATTTTTAAAATGCATAAATTCAGTTACTCAAATTATCGCTCACAATGCACAGGTAATATTGCGAGATTTTTCACATGAAATAACCTTTTCCTCTGACATTCCAATAATTTCTTTGAGCACTTAGTTGAACTTGCAGTACGTTTGGTTTTCATAAATCAAGTTTGTCATTATTATTATGATGATATTTTAGCAGATTAGCAGATTTTAACCATAAATAATAAACCAATTAAAAAACAACAACAACTACAGGCTAAATCTACTAAAGAAAACCTTTTGTATATTTATTTACATGTATATTTTTTGTTTTTATGAATGTAGTTTTTATTATTACTATTATTATATTTTAGCAGATGCTATATTATATTTAACCATAGAAATGTACATATACTTATTAAAGTAATGATTTTATATATATATATATATATATATAAAATAACTTTGTCTCCACAGAGAGGAAATTTGTCCTCAAACTATGTAAATCTACAAAAAGTATTTTTACTGACAAAATAAGGAGTGTCATCTAATTGTGCATCTCATTTGACCCTGATTTGATTTGAACCCTGTATGTACTTGTAAGGGGAGGTTAGCTATTAGTATTAAGCTATAAAAGTTAATATTAAGTCATTAAAACTCTATTTATTGAGTATTGGAATTTAGCATGTCACACTGCCGGCCTTTGCTGTCTCTGCTTGAAATGTCACATCAACTACCCATGTGCATACTAGCTTTTTATAATATTGTGCATTGCAGCTTGTGATGCATCACTTGCTGAAACAGTATTGCTTGTGAATCTTTAGAGGCTTTGCGAATAAAAGTGATGAAGGCTGGTTGAGTTCCATGTTTGCACACAAAGTGGATGCCAGGAAAGATGCCCACTCCAATCTGCTCTCCAAGAAAGACACCAGCAACCTCTACAAGATTCAGTGTGAGCTAATGAATCTAAAACCTTCAAGGATGCGCTCAAATGCTTAGGCCTTGGGACAAATAGTGCATGCAGTATAGTTGATAGGAATTGCTAAAAATATCCCCATGCATGAATGATGTGCTTGCTTGTCATTTTCCTCCAGAAAAACAGCCTAAACTGCTTGTTTTGTACTAATTGTTTTAATAAATCAGCCTCCAAAGTGTTTATTTGTAGAATTCTTTTGTTTTCAAGAGACCAGCTCTATGAAGAATGGTAATGAAAATTGGGTTTAGAAAAATGAGGGTGATATTTCATTAAAGGGGTCATATGATATTGCTAAAAAGAACATTATTTTGTGTATTTGGTGTAATGAAATGTGTTTATGCGGTTTAAAGTTAAAAAAACACATTATTTTCCACATACTGTACATTATTGTTTCTCCTCTATGCCCCGCCTTTTTGAAACGCGTCGATTTTTACAAAGCTCATCGGTCTGAAAAAGCGAGGTATGCTGTGATTGGCCAGCTATCCA